TCTGGAAAGCACCTGGTTGCAAATCTTTGATGTGATTTCCAGCTGGAGAAATACATGTTGTGGTTCATGTTTATAGGATGTTTACCCTTCTGAATTTTTTTTAAAAAAAACCTACCATATTGAATTGAAACAAACAAGATTGCTATCCAGCTTCCTGGTTTTTTATTACTAAGAGATCTAATTCAGTCTAATGGTTAAGGCCCCAGGAAAGAAAGTCGGATACCGTGAGTTCTAATCCTACCTTAACCATGAAAGCCTGCTGGGTAACCTTGGGCCAGATTTAACCCAACCATCCCACAGGTTTGTTATTGTGTAAAAAAAATAGGAGGAGGAAGGTGTGATGGATATGTTTGCTGCCTTAATTTGTTTGAAAAAAAATAAATCAAGGATAGAAACAAATAAATAAATAATCTGTGAGATATGCTTAAAAATAAACGTACATAAAGTTGGATTTTAAGGATTGGGTCTAGATCAGTGACAGCAAACCTTTTAGAGGCCGAGTGCCCAAACGGCAACCCCAAAACCAACTTATTAATCGCAAAGCGCTAACACAGCAATTTAACCTGAATAATGAGGTTTTACTATGTAAAATAATGATAAACAAGGCAAGAGTTCAGCTAATTGTTCTAAGAAAAACATGATAAATGCACTTTTATGCTCCTTCATTTTTTGTCCTGCTTTTGAAATATTAGGTTTAGCAACAATAAAAAAGAAAAACGTTTGTAAAATCATTTCTCTCTTTCCCTCCCTCTCTTTCCCCCTCTCTCTTTCTCTCTTTCCCTCCCTCTCTCTCTCTTTCCCTCCCCCCTCTCTTCCCCTCCCCCTCTCTCTCCGTCCTGTGGGAGAAATGTGATGGATCTGGGCTGGGGCAGCAGCATGCGTGCCCACAGAGAGGTCTCTGAGTGCCACCTCTGGCATGCGTGCCATAGGCTCACCATCACTGGTTTAGATCAAGCCAATTGCTCTAGTTCCAATATCCTGAATCTTAAAAGTATGTCATTATTACAGTGTTTCTACGTATTGCATGTAGGACAATCAGAATAGAGTTTGGATCCAGATTTAAATATTTTGTGAATGAAAAATATATATATTTAGTGTCACAACCCCTGGTATGCCCCAATTATGGGAGGAAGCTAACTGCTTCCATTATCTGTCAATCGGCTCGTCATAAGAGTCCATCACGCCAGAACCCCATTATTTTTACTGTTGCCTTTGTTACACATTTTGTGTTATATTTGTTGCTGATAAATAAATAATATTGGGTTTCTGTCGTGATGGACTCTTGTGACGAGCCGATTGACAGATAATGGAAGCAGTTAGCTTCCTCCCATAATTGGGGCATACCAGGGGTTGTGACACTAAATATATATATATATCTATATATCTATCTACATCTATCTATCTATATCTATCTATCTATCTATCTATCTATCTATCTATCTATCTATCTATCTA